GTATATGGCGCCTGAAGTGTTAAACAAAGAAATACAAGAAAGCGTCAGATGTCTATTCATTTGCAATGACTATGTTTGAGGTGTTTCAATGGGATTTTGTGTTCAAAAAAATGATGAGAGGTTTCAACACGTCTGGAATATCGCCGATTTCATTTCTAATGGTAAACGATTTGCCAGACCAAATAATATTTGACGAATGAATTTGATATCATTCAAAACGCTTGGGCACAAGACCCCAAAGATAGAATACTAATTGGAAAAGTTATTGAAAAACTGGAGGAATTAAATCATTGATTTATTTTCAATATTCTTTTTTTAATTATTTTTCATGTTACTACAACAAGTCAATAAAAATAAGTCCAGCTTGTTTAAAATTATAGTAAAATATAATATTTATTGTTATAAAATGAAAAACATTTTTCATAAATTAAAAAACATTAATTAAAAACCAAAAAAATAAAAATACTTGTGAAAACAATATAAAACAATTTTTTGGTTTAGATATTTGTAATCTACTTGTCACCCATTCTATTCATTTAAATCAGTATAACATTTGATGTGAAGGTGTCAATGTGTATAACCAACTAAAATCAATTTATGTTGTAAATTACATGTATATAGTGTACAAACACAGGATTTGCTATAAAATAAAGGCATCATCTATATTATAATTAATGTTTTGTTCTCGAATCTGTAACTTTCGTTGAATTAATACCAAATTTTCACTTAAAAATAAGATTCGATATTAAAACGAACTTTTTAAAAAATTCTCTCAAATTTTACAAATAGTTTTTTTATGTGCTGTATTACGACAAATAAACCCCTGTCACTGTATTTCTGAATAATTTATTGTGTGTTTATGACTTTAAATAAATATTATCAACCCAAGTATTTTGATGAATCTCCAGTGCCACGTTTAGTTAGACATTTATTATTATACTTTTTAAAACCAAATTTAAATAAATTTTGAATATAACCAACCAAGTCCTTCAAACGAGCCATCCCCAGTGATACCACAGCATTCTTGGCACATCCATTCGTGTCCTGCTATTGATTGAAGTTCCATTTTATCAATGATTTCTTGTTTAGTTAAAGCATTTGGTAAATCGGTTTTATTTAAATAGAAGAGAATTGGTACATTAAAAAGTTCTTCATCAATACAAAATTGATGAACAAATTCCTTTGCCTCATTAATGCGGTCCTGGTCGTTTGTGTCTATCACATATATTATAGCTTGTGTTCTACTATAATATTGGCGTGTCATTGGTCTTAAACATGAACCCCCATTAATATCCCATACATTAAAAACAATTCTTTTGTACTGGACATCCTCAACATTAAATCCCATAGTTGGTATTGTATTAACATATTTGTAATATTTAAGATGGTACAATATAGTCGTTTTTCCAGCAGCGTCAAGACCGATCATTAAGACCCAAACACGTTTGTTTTTGCCAAAACAGTTACCCATATTTTATGTTATTGAGCTTGGATTTATATATCAATAAAAAAGAATATAAATTCTATGTGACACAATTAAAAACGGAAAAAACTTTATTTATTGTCTTTATATAGATTTTTTTACTATTTGATATAATATGCAAATTAAAATTATAGGAAATAGAAATTTTGGTAATTATTTGGTCTTGTTCCAGAAATCAAAAAATGCCGATTATTTACTTCGGATCAGTGGAAACTGAGTGAGACGGAGACAGGGAATTGAAAAAATGTTAATAAGGCGCACTCAAACGGCCTGTTTATGCAGACTGTTTGTATGATAATCTACAAGTAAACAGGGGAACCACATCCTCGTCAACACAGTACGGACAAGTAAAGTGGATGACATGGGACAAACATACAATGGCTGTATAGTAGACTTTGGTAAAAAAACATCAGCGGCAAATACTTTATTTTGGTTAAGGTAAAAAAGCTGGTCCTATTAAAAACACTTGTTCTGGATAAAACTATATTAAATAATAATTTGTATTTATAATCAATAATACAAAAATCATGAAAATTTACAAAAAATAAGTGTTTTAACCAAAGATTTCCAAAAACACAATCCTAATTACCCACGTCACCATTTAATAACCAAAATGTAAATTTCTTATAAATTCGTACGTTATAATACCACATTTTCGGCAATAATTATTTTGGAAATGCTTGGTTTAACAATTTGAAGTGTTTTTAATATTATAAAGTTAATTTAATATAATTGTTTTGGTTTAAGTTTGATGTTACTTTATCTCCAACAGATAAGTGCCCTTCAAAACATATAACTTCTCTATTCAAAACGGGTTGTTTTACTCCATGTGTTCGTTATATTCTAATTTAATAAATAAACACAACATTTGTATAAAAGTTGAAAATTTTTGTTCGACTAAAAAGCAGATTATTTTATGGGGTGTTACAATACAAGATTAGACTCAGCCTATCTCTTTAATGTTGTTAATAAGGGGATATCGATCGTCACACATCTCACACCCACAATACATAAATACCAATAATGGCACATTTTTTAAGTGTGTTGTCTTCTCACATAAATACGTCTCATTGACAAAATAATTGGAAGAGCACTTTAAACACTCAAAATCACTCAAACACTTCGAACAAAAAACTGGAACACGAAAGACGTGATCCATTCAAAAAAGTGGTCTGTTTCACAAACAACACAATGACTTGTATCGTTCATTAAAGCTATTGAGCAGTGTGGGGACTCGTTAATTAAAGTAAACTATATTATTTAACAATACATATAAAAAGTATTATAAAATGTAATTAAAACAATTAATATAAATTAATATAAATTATTAAAATAATTATTAGTTGTTTATTAATAATACAATACTATATAATAATGTAATCCCATAGTTTAAAATTTCAAATATAACTAAATTTATAAACATTACTAATTCTAATAACAAAGCAATGAAGTCTATAAAGTAAACCTGAATATTTATATGATGATGGTTGTCACGTATAGACCGAGCTTTTTATAAAAATCATTGACCATTTTATTATAATATAAAAAATTTATTTTCTATTCTATTGACCAATTTATAACATAACCAACCAAAAACAAAATTATAAGAATACAAATAATAGAATTAAACTTCCACAAGTTGTAAATAAATTTATTGTGTTGGTATTTCGATATTAAGCATTTTGACAAGAACTGAAGTTATTGACACAGTCACTACAGCCAAGTATGACAATCCAAAAACAAGAAACGAACACACAATTGAAGAGATGATGGAGTGGTATTCGTTTTCTTCTGAATCGATAATGCAACTATTACACAACTCAA